GCTGTGTGTGTGTGTGTGTGTGTGTGTGTGTGTGTGTGTGTGTGTGTGTGTGATCCCCTGGAGATAAAGTTGCATAGATGGTTCTGAGCTGCCGTGTTGGTGCTAAAGTCTTTGGAAGAACACCCAATGCCCTTAACCCGAGTCAGCTCCAGTAAAAAAGAATCTTTTTAGCCGGGCAGTGGTGGCGCACGCCTTTAATCCCAGCACTCGGGAGGCAGAGGCAGGCGGATTTCTGAGTTCAAGGCCAGCCTGGTCTACAGAGTGAGTTCCAGGACAGCCAGGGCTACACAGAGAAACCCTGTCTCGAGGAAAAAAAAAAAAGAATCTTTTTTTTCTTCATTTTTTAATTTTAGATTTGTTTATTATGTATACAGTGTTCTGCCTACATGTACACTTGAATGCCAGAAGAGGGCACCAGATTGTGAGCCACCATGTAGTTATGTGGTTGCTGGGATTTGAACTCTAGACTCTGGAAGAGCAGCCAGTGCTGAGACTCCCTGAGCCATCTCTCCAGCCCCAGGCAGAAAGACTTAACTGAGAAAAAGGCCTCCCTACAGTGTCCGCTTGTAGACAAGTCTGTAGAGCTTTATCGTGATGATTGACGTAGGAGGGGTCAGTCCATTGTGGGCGGGGCCACCCCTGAGGAGGTGGTTCTGGGTGACAGAAGAAAGCATACTGAGCAAGGCCTGGGGAACAAGCCAGTCAGCAATGATTCTCCAGGGCCTCAGCATCAGCGCCTGCCCTGACTTCCCGAAATGACGAGCAGTGATCTGAAATAACCCTTCTTCCCTCAAGTTTCTTTTCCTCACAGTGTTTGATCATGTAGCAGAAACCCCAAGCCACCTGCTATGTAGCCTTACCCCACCCCAGGGTTATTTATTTTGTTTGTGTGAGTGTGTAAATATGTATGAGTGCCCTGAGAGGCCAGAAAACTCATCAGACTGCTCTGGGATGGAGTCACAAACACTTGTGAACTGTCTGGCATGGGTGCTGGGATCCCAACACTAGGATCCTTCACTTGCAAGACACACATGCATACACCCATGCGCGCGCGCGCACACACACACACACACACACACACGAACACATCCTTTTTGTTTGTTTGTTTGTTTTTCAAGACATGGTTTCTCCGTGTGACAGTTCTGACTGTCCTAGGACTGGCTTTGTAGACCAGGCTGGCCTCAAATTTACAGAGGTCTGTCTGCCTGTCTCCTGAATGCTAGGACTAAAGGTGTGTACCATCGCCTGGCTTTTTATTTTATTTTTGCACCCTTTCCTCTTTTAAATTAAATATAACTACATTATTTTCCCCTTTCCTTTCTCCAACATGTTTTTTTAAAACAAAAAACCAAACAGGCTAGAGATGAACTCCCCAAAGTCCTCCTGCCCTGGTGCTGCCCTGGTGCTGCCCTGGTGCTGCCCTGGTGCTGCCCTGAGTGCTGCCCCAGTGCTGCCCTGGTGCTGCCCTGAGTGCTGGTGTTATGGTCTGTATCACTGTGTAGCTCAACGGAGCTGACACACAGGCCCTCTCCTCCCTCATTCCTGGCTATTCCATTTTCAGAATCTGCACCACAGGGTGTTTCACTGAGAGCTGTGGTTGTTTCTCTAGCTGTGGTTGTGTGCTTCCCCACCACCCTGCAGCGCTGACAGGGCGGTATTTCCTGCCGACTTTCCTGCGGTCCCCCAGGCTGCTGGCTTTATTCTCAGTCTCTGGGAACGCCCTCAAACTTCCACTAACACCCATCTTCAGCACCCAGATGCCCTAGAGCAATGCTTCTCAACCTCCCTAGTGCTGTGACCATTTGATACAGTTCCTTCTGTTGTGACGGACCCCCACCATCCATGAAATCATTTTTGTTGCTATTTCCTAACTGTAATTTTGCTGGTATGAATCGTAAATATCTGATATGCAGGATTATGTGATATGCCACCCTGTGAAAGGGACATGACTCCACAGGGGTCAAGACACACAGATGGAGAACCACTGGCCTATGCCTTCCTGCAGCACTCAGCACTCAGCTCCCAGCATGCTCCTCCACCTCCTCACAGCATCCTCACCCCACCCACAGAGAGACAGACACAGCAGGGGACCCCAGCAACAGCTTTTATTGCTCCTAGGCAGGACAGGTTAGCTACTGTTGTTGAAGTTCAGATTGGGTGGAGTTCAGTCAGGGTGTGGCCCCCGGGTCCGTGCTGGGGGATGGTATCAGTGGTTGTCATTAATCTTTGAGTGCCTGAGTGTCCTGGGTACGTTGGGGGCCCCAGGGTTCGTGACAGGGGTCTCAGGGAGAGGTGATTGAGGGCCCAAGAACCAGGAACATCAGAGCTGAGTCTGTGTCCTGAAGGGGGGGGCTGGCTGCAGGGGCCCCTCTGTTGTCCCCATATGTGGTCATGGGGCTCAAAAGTCTGAGCAGACCTGGGAATCAGAGCTCATCATGGTGTCTTGTCAGATCCTCACCGTAGTTAGTGGCCTGGCTGCCCACAAACATGTTCCAGTTGCTCAGGATCTCAGCTTTGCTCAGCCGGCCATCCTGCGGGCAAAGGAGTCAGCAGGAGGTGGGGCCCATGTGGGACACTCCCTACTCAGGATGCCCCTAGGACCCCTCCTCTGCGTCGCTGCTCTCCTCTAGGCCTCTGTCCCCATCTCTGTTTCTCTGGATGTGCCTCTCGGTCTCTTTCTGTTTCTTTCTCTGTTCCCGGACCCACCTGAGTGCAGGCAGTAACCCAGGCTCACCTTGTCTGTGTCGCTCTCATGCAGCAGGTGGTTGGCCTCCACCAGGGGCTGGTCCTGGGACGGAGGTAGCACCCAGTAACCGACTTCACTGCCATCCAGCCGCCCATCCTTGTTCAGATCCCGGAAGTCTCGGAACTGCTGCCGCTCTGTCTCCACCCAGGCAGGTTCCTCCTCCCCAGGCTCCTCAGAGTACAGGTCCGCTGAAGGGGATGCGGGAAATGGGGGGAGATGAGGCCTGGGACAGCTCTGGAGGCCTGGGAGACCTACGTCCTGCATCCCAAGAGCCATCTTCCTTGAGGCCTACCCTGTACCCACACACCTCCCCACCCTTCCCTCTCCGTCCCATCTGTGCACACACCCACACACAGGCCACCAGACCCTTCGGTCATCCTTCCTACATCTTATGCCAAATTTGTTTCAGGGAGAAAACATGTTATCTAAAAAGATTTAGAAAAATAACCTGGGGAGGGGAATAAAGCACTCATTTCTTACAAATGTTATAAACACATGGTATTTAAGCATGAATATCCTCCCTGCAGATTGTGCACAGAATATTTCATATATAAACCTTTCAAAGTCAAGCTAAAGACAGCTTAGTTGGTGGAGTCCCTGTTTAACACCAAGCCCTGGGTTCTGTCGAGCGCTGTGTGAGCAAGGCATGGCTGTGGTGTCATGGACGCCAGCTCTGTGGAAGTGGAGGCATGAGAATCAGGAATTGAAGGTGTTCAGCACTTCACAGCAAGTTCAAGGCCAGCCTGAGTTACAGGAGACCTAACTCAAAAAAAAATTTTTTTTTGGAGGCAGAGGCAGGTGGATTTCTGAGTTCGAGGCCAGCCTGGTCTCCAGAGTGAGTTCCAGGACAGCCAGGGCTACACAGAGAAAGCCTTTCTCGAAAAACCAAAAAAAAAAAAAAAAAAATTAAAAGCCAACAAAACCAGATTTTATCCTCATTAGTTCCTCCCTGAGTTAAACAGCCAAGGCCTAGCACAGGGCTGGCTATCCGGGCTAAAACACTTCAAATAGCCCAAAACAGGACAACTGGAGACATAGTTTGTTATGGAAACAAGACAAATCTTGACCCTGGTACAACCAACAAAGCTCCTGAGCCAAGGCCGTTGTGAAGCCCCAGGCTGTCTCCAAAAGGGCCTCTCTCCCTGGTGCTTTCTGCAGGAGGCTCCCATTGAATGCTTCCCTGGCTAGACATGTGGTAGCTTCTGTACACAGTGGGGGCTTGCTTCATGCAGCTTGAAGGATAAGGACCACGGCTCTCCTTGGTGCCGGGAGATGACAGGCCTCAGGTGGGAATGGGCCTTGCTCACCGATGTACTCTTCCACCTGTATGTAGCCATCTTTGTTCTTGTCAATGTCCTCCAGGGTCTCCTGGGGAGAGGCATTGGGGTGGAGGGTCAGTGCACCTACAACTGAGCAATGTCCACAGGGAGGAGGGGTGAGGGACTTGAATATGACTGGGGTGTACATGTGTCCAGTGTGAGGGACCAGGAACCCCCCCCTCCATGTCCAACCCTGCCCAGCTTTGTCTGGTTTTATGAGATAGGCTCTCACTATGTAGCCCTGGTGGGTGTATAACTCAAGGCTGGCTTTGAACTCACAGACCTGCCTGTCTCAGCCTCCTGAGTGCTGGGATTAAAGGTGTGCTCCACCACGACCAGGTCATGGGTGATGTATTTTTAAAGATTTTTAAAAAAAATTATATGTATGGATATTTTGCTTGCATGCCCGTGTACCGTGTACATGCAGTCCCTCCAAGACCAGTAAGGCCGTCAGACGCTGCAGAATTAGAGTTATACTGGAGCTGAGAAAAGAACCCAGGCTTCTGCAAGAACGGCAAGTGTTCTTAACCATTAAGGCGGGCGCATGGACCATTATTTGACACATACACCAGCATGTCTACTTTTCATGTTATCTGTCTTAATTTTTAAAAATGGTTTCTGCTCGAAAAACCAAAAAAAAAAAAAAAAAAAGATGGCTTCTGGCTGGGCAGAGGTGGTGCATGCCTTTAGTTCTAGCACCAGCAAAGTCAGAGGCAGGTAGATAGATCTCTGTGAGTTCAAGGCCAGCCTGGTCTACAAAGTGAGTTCCAGGACAGCCAGGGTTACACAGCAAAACCCTGCCTCAAAAACCCAGACAGATAGAATGATAGATAGATAGATAGATAGATAGATAGATAGATAGATAGATAGATAGATAGACAGACAGACAGACAGATAGTGGATAGGTAGAATCCACTTCCTCAAATTCAAGAGCTCAATAGTCACTCAGGATTAGCAGTGGACCCTAACAGGCAAAACAAATATGCAAGATCCCTGTAGCTGCCACACAGGCATGAAGACCTGAACTGCATTACTGAAACCTGCATAACATGGGCCTGGTGGCACACACTTATAACCACAGAGCTGGGAGGCAGAGACAGGAGGATGCCGGGGGATAGCTGGTCAGCCAGCCTAATCTACTCAGCAAGTCTCACATCTTGGTCAATATCCAGTTTCAAGAAACAAATAAGAACAAATCGTGGAGCCATGACTCAGAGATAAGGAGCACATGGTCTCACAGAGGCCCTGAGTGCAGGTCCCAGCACCCAGTGAGCAGCTCACAACCATCTGTAACTCCAGGTCTAGGTGGTCCAGCTCCCTCTTGTGGCCTTTACAGCACCTGCATGCCCAACGGCCTTTTCAGTGAGTACGTTCCATATCTGGGATCTGAGGTATGATTAAATCACAGCATGTTATATGTGCATTTCAAATAAACTGTGTTCTCCTGGGGTCCAGCTACAATGGGTTTTCACCTGAGGCTCTTCTTAGAATATGATTGTCTGCGGACAGGCTGGGGACTGGACACCTAACGGAAGCACAGGAAGGTCTGACAAAGAGGGACCAGGCACTGGATGGGGGGTAGACACGGGAGAAAATGCTGTCCTACATCTATGCTGGTTGCCAGAATCCTTGTGAAGGATGCTGGGACCGAGGACAGGCTTGGGAAGCATGTTCTCTGCAGTGTTACTCACTGCCACTACGATGTCCCGCATGTGAGGGAACTCCTCAGGATGCAGAAAGGCTGTCAGTTCTTCCCGAGTAGCCATGGAGTCTCCATCTTGGTCAGCTACCCGGAATCGCCGCTCATCCCGAGCCAGCATCTTCTTGTAGGTCTCAGCATCCTCCACATCATGAAATTCCTCCCCTGGGGAAGGACAGATGTGGGTGAGATGTGTGGTCACAGAGGTGAGGCCTGGGGCCTTAGGAAACAGAAGGACCCAGCTAGTGGAAGGACTGCCAGTGTGTAAGTTGTAACATGTGTCAGTCACAAGATGGGTATGTGGGCAGGACTGCCATTCACCATACTTAAAAGACTGAGGCAAAGGAATTACAAGTTCAAGGTCAGCCTGGGTAACTAAGCAAGACTATCAGCCCAGAAGCGAGTCCCTGCCTAGAATCCCCCAGTGAGGGGCAGGGGTGTGGCTCAGCCTTTCCTAGCAAGTGTGAGGCCCCAGGGTCATCCCTGGAGATGTAAAATAACAATTTTGATGTGTAATATACTCAGTTTCTTGTATCTGGCCGGAACACAGTCAATGACGTCATAGACTAACTCCTCGGCCGTTTTCAAGTCCTCAATGTTCTTCATCTTTTGTTGTTTTGTTTGTTTGTTTGTTTTTGTTTTTTGTTTTTTTGTTTTTTAAGATGGGGTTTCACAGCCGGGCGGTGGTGGCGCACGCCTTTAATCCCTGCACTTGGGAGGCAGAGGCAGGCGGATTTCTGAGTTCGAGGCCAGCCTGGTCTACAGAGTGAGTTCCAGGACAGCCAGGGCTACACAGAGAAACCAAACCAAACCAAACAAAACAAAACAAAAGATGGGGTTTTACTATGTAGCCCAGGCTGACATGGAACTCACTGGGTAACCTGTTAGTTCACAAAGACCTGCCTGCCTCTCCCTCCAAGTGCTGGGATTAAAGAGGAGCTGCACCATTCCCACTCTCAGCCCCCTTTCTGCCCTGTCACCATTTGATCCTCATACAAAGACAGATGGTTGCCTTTCCCATTTGTTCTCTTTTCTGAATGTAAAATGACTTGTACTCTGAGTGTACACTGGCCTGGTTAGCCCTAAGTTCTTTCCTGATACAGTAAGTGACTGGCTCTGACTTCATGACAGAGGGCAGGGAAGGGCTTTATGCCAGAGGAGGAACAGCATATGCAAAGTGCAGAGTTTTGAGGAGCTGAGATCGAGGACTCCACAGAAGTCACGTTTGGGGCAGAAACCAGCACAACACTGAAGGTGGGAAAGGCTAACGAGGTAGCTGTCTGTCTCCTAGGGTTGCTGGAGGATGGATAGACTCACCTGTGCTATGTCTATCCTTGAGCTCTGGGCTATGCTCCTGCCTCCGCCTCCCAAGTGCTGAGAGTGTAGGCAAAACTGAGGAAGACTGCTAACCAGGTGTGCTGGCTAATTTTATGTCAACTTGGACACAGATCAGAGTCACCCGAGAGGAGGGAACCCCAATTGAGAAAAGGCTCCCATCAGACTGGGCTATAGGCAACACTCTAGAGCAGTGGTCAATCTCTCCTGCTCTGACCCTCTAAAACAGCTCTCAGGTTCTGCTGGTCCTCATAAAATTACTTTTTTTGTTGTTTTTGTTTTTTTGTTTTTTTTCTTTTTTTTCTTTTGGTTTTGTTTTTCGAGACAGGGTTTCTCTGTGTAGCCCTGGCTGTCCTGGACTCACTCTGTAGACCAGGCTGTCCTTGAACTCAGAAATCCGCCTGCCTCTGCCTCCCAAGTGCTGGGATTAAAGGCGTGCACCACCACCGCCCGGCTTTTTTGTTTTTTTCGAGACAGGGTTTTTCTGTGTATCCCTGGCTGTCCTGGAGCTCACTCTGTAGACCAGGCTGTCCTTGAACTCAGAAATCCGCCTGCCTCTGCCTCCCAAGTGCTGGGATTAAAGACGTGTGCCACCACCGCCTGGCAAAAATTACTTTGTTGCTACTTCACAACTACAATTTTGCTACTGTTAGAATCCTAAGGTAACCATCGATACACAGGCTATCTGATATGAGACCCCCCAAAGGGGTCATGATCCACTGGTTGAGAACCAGCCCTATAGTGAATTCTTCAGTGATGGACCACAGATGTGGAAGCAAAAGCCAAATAAACCCTTTTCTCCCCAACTTGCTTTTGGCCACAGTGTTTCATCATAGCAACAGTAACCCTAGCTAAGACAAAAACCAAAAAAACAACCAACAAACAAGAAAAAAAAAAAAAACAGAGATAAGGGGTCTGGATAACAGAGTTACGCATTAAGTGTTCCTGTCAGGGATGTGAAGTCTCCAGTCAACTTGTCACATAGGTTGGATTTCAGAAGGACGAGCAAGTGACATTTGAAATGCAGGGGAGGTATCAGTGATAAGATCCTAAAAGCGAGGGCAAAGGGCAAAGGCGAGGTGGGCATACCGGGCTCATAATGGCCATAGGTGGCATTGCGCAACTCCTCCCAGCCCACGCGCCCATCGCGGTCCGTGTCGTAGGTGTGCCAGGCTGCGCTCACCGAGTCACGTATGTGCCGCTGCTGTGTGTGTGCGATCCACGCGCGGAGCTCAGCTAAGGACACCCAGCCATCGCTGTCTCCAGCAAGGTCCATGCGGTCTACAATCCGCCTGCGAGGGGAATGGTTGTCAGTCTCTGGCCCTGCCCAATGAGGCTCTGCCCCTAGAGATGCAGTCAATCTCAATCCTAACCCCGCCCACCTAGGCCCTTCCCTGTCATAGAGTCACCCTTGCACCTACTAAGACAAAAATGGGGACTTAAGTGATGGCTCAGTGGTTAAGAGTGGCTACTCTTGTAGGGACCTGGGTTTGATTCCCAGGAGCCCCACAAGGCAGATCACAAGCATATGTAACTCTGGTGGTAGGGATCCATTACCCTCTTTTGGCCTCTGTGGGCACAAGACATGTTAATGGTTAATGTACACACATGAAAAATACCCACACTCATATAAATCTTTTTTAATTAAAAAAAAAAAAAAGAGCAGAACATGGTTGTGTAGGCCTTTAATCCCAGCACTTGGGAGGTAGAAGCAGGCAGATCTCTGTGAGTTCAAGCCCAACCTAGTCTCCAAGACAGCAAGGGCTATTTAGACAAACTGTCTCAAAAAAAAAAAAAAAATTAAAAGAAAAATAAGGAGGCTGGAGAAACGGCTCTGTGGTTAGGAGCATGGGGTGCTCCTTGAGAGTACCCAGGTTCAATCCCAGCACACATGGAAGCTCACAACTGTCTGTCACTCCAGTTCCAGGGGATCCATGGCACCAGGCATGTGTGTTGAGCACATATGTGTGCAAGCAGGCAATATATCCATATACTTAAGTTAACAATTATTTAGAAATAAAGATGGATAAAAAAGGAAGAAAAATGTCACCCAAGGTCTGCAAGCAACCTGGGGCTGGGCTTCAAATAAACCCAGGAGAGGAACTGTTTTTTGTTTGGTAGTATTTAGAGGATTATTGCGTGTTGTTCGTTTGTTTGTTTGAGAGATGGGATCTCATTGATTCCTGGTTAGCTAGAAACTCACTTTGTAGACCAGACTGGTCCTGAGCTCACCAAGATCGGCCTGCCTCTGCCTTCCAAGTCCTGGGATTAAAACTGTGAACCCACACAGGACCAGAAGGAGCATTACCATTGATAGGTTTCATCCACCCTAGGTCTTTGCCCACCCTGACTCCGCCCCTTGCCCCTAGCCACGCCCCTCAGGGACCGCTGCTGCACAGGCTTGGGAAGGCCGTAGTGATGGATGCTAGGTGAACTGAGCAGGCGGCACCTATTAATCTTGGTATCAGGCCCATCTAAAAGCCCGCCATCTTCACCTAGCCTGTCCCCTGCAGGAGTCCTAGAGATTTGGATTAGCACCTGGCACAAACCAAGGCCCCTCTAGGACCCTCTACTCTAGCCTCGACCTCTAAGCACTGCACAGACCCTAGCTGGGCTGACCTGAAGTGTGAACAAGGAGCCAGGCCCCCAATTAGAGAGTGCCACTGTCTTTATTAACCTTGAAGTTCCACCTCTCACCATCTCAGGGCTCACCCCTCTTTCAAGCTGTCTGTGGACTCAAGCTTTGCCCACTTCCCTAGATGGGCAGATCAATTTTGGGCTCCTCCCTCTCCCAGCTCCGCCCTGCTATTTGCCCAGTTTAAAATTAGAAAATGCCACCACGTTAAAGACGCATACCTTTAATCCAAGCACTTGGGAGGCAGAGGCAGGCAGATTTCTGAATTCTGGTCTACAAAGTGAATTCCAGACCAGCTAGCACCACAAATGAAATTCTATCTCAAAGTACTACTACGAATAAAAATAATCAAGCATATATGCTCGAGTGGCCTTCTTGCCCCGGGTCCATGCTGACTGTGTCTGTCACCTAGAAACGGGCCAATCCTGTCCAGCAGGCGTCATTCATCCCAGTTCAACCTGATCTCTGAGCTTGGCATCTTCCTCAAATCCCATGCCTTCAGTCTCTACCAAGAGTTGGTGACCCGTTTAGAAGAGAGAGTCGGGATGTGGGGGAAACCAGGTGTTGGTGACGCACATCCACCACAGCCTCACGCCTTCTCCCAGGAGGTGAGTACCACAGTTCTGTCCAGTTTCTTGCCTCTAGTCTTTTCAGAGAGCTCATTTCTCCTACCTCCCTCTTCTGCCCGCACCCCCCCCCCCCATCCTCCTACCCAAGTCGGGCCTGGCTTTCCTCTGGGCTGAGTTGGTCAAATTCCTTGGCCACGTCTCGTCCCAGGAACGCCTCATGGTCGTACTGGAAATTCCCGTGGATGTCATCGTGGGGGGCCTCACTCAGGGGGGTTCCTTGATGCACCCTACCCTGGCTATGAGGTCCTGCATCAGGGGATGGCTTCCCGAGGGCCCAGTGCCTCTGCAGTAAGAGAAGCAACAGAAGCGACCATCGCCACATCATCGGTTCCTGGGGGAGAGGCGAGGACCAGGGGTCAGGGGTAAGATTGGGAAAAAAAAAATCTGAACCAGAGATAATGTGGGAGAACTTTGAAGGGGGCGGTGAGGGAGGCTGTCTAAGGCAGGGTCAATATAAGCGCAGGCTGCAAAAAGTTTTGGGCTCAAGAAAAGTCGGCAAAAAGAACAGAAAATTTGAAGGTTAAACCATCTCTAGGGGTGGAATCCGAGCCTCAGACGAACCTCAGAGCAGGAGTATTTCAGTTAGAGACGTGGCACACATTCTACACACAAAGTTCAGGGCATAGTGGTGGCCGAAAGCATCATGCGGGCTCCTCTGTGTGGCCCCCAGCCTGGACCGCGACCCTCACCCTGAAGCCCCCTCCATAGCTAGCTCTCCACCCTTCCACCCACCCCACCCTCACCCCATCACACCTCTGTTACCCGGCCTGGGTTCGCTCCCCACGCTGAGCTCTGCTTACTCGCGCAAAGATGCCCAACCTGGACCGGCTCCAGTTAAGCTCCGCCACTGGCAGTCCAGAGGCCGCAGCCCTCTGACCAATGACTGAGTAGGAGAGCCTCAGGGGCGGAGCCAAAGAGCCGAATAGTGCCCGGACCCCCTTGCCACGTCCACAAGGCCTTGCTCTAGCCGGGAAGGCGTGGTGGTGGTGGTGGTGGGGGGGAAATAAGGCTGATATTGAACTACAATTCCCAGCAGACATATGGGCCGACTGCACGACCACCTCCAGAGTCTCTGGCCCCAGAGGATTAAGGGAGTTAAAAAAAAAAAAAAACTCTTTCGACTTTTCAGAAAAGAGGAGGTCTGGTTTGGTGGCTCATACTACCAACACTTGGGCGGCAGAAGCGGCCAGCCAGGATTACGTACAGAGACTCTGTCTTAAAACAAACAAATGAACAAAAAAACAAATAAAAGCAAACAAAAAAAACGGAGGAGGGGTGCGGGCTGGAGAGAATGGCTCAGCAGTTAAGAGCACTGACTGCTCTTCCAGAAGTCCTGAGTTCAAATCCCTGCAACCACATGATGGCTCACAACCATCTGTAATGGGACTTGATGCCCTCTTCTGGTGTCACTGAAGACAGCTACAGTGTACTTATATAAATGAAATAAATAAATCTTTAAAAAAAGGAATGAGCCGGGCGGTGGTGGCGCACGCCTTTAATCCCAGCACTTGGGAGGCAGAGGCAGGCGGATTTCTGAGTTCGAGGCCAGCCTGGTCTACAGAGTGAGTCCCAGGACAGCCAGGGCTATACAGAGAAACCCTGTCTCGAAAAACCAAAAAAAAAAAAAAAAGGAATGAAAGAGAGAGAGAGGAGAAATACCTGGCACATCACATACATTCATGACTAAAAATAAACAACTCAGTGTATAAAATGGCCAGGCTATACCACAACAATCAGGAGGAGTCTGTATGATCTTTCCCAGACCCATTCAATTTATTTCCAATGCCTGAAACTTGAGAATAACGATGCACACACAGATATGGGCCCAATTTTATGTGGAAATAGAAAATAGCCATGTACATTAAGAGGGAAAACTGAATCAGGGCACAAAAGAAGGGATCCATGGGGAGGACGTGCGGCCCAGGGCTCCCTAAGGAGGCTCAGAGACAGTTCAGGAGGTCACACAGCCCCAAAGGCTGCAATGGGTATGGGGCCTGAGTTGGCATCAGGAAGTGGCTGAAAAGGTATTTGCACCTTGAGGCTCAGCCTCAGGGGGCAAGTTTCCACCAGGCAGCAGGTCACCAGAGTCATCACCACTGAGAGAAAGCCATGGGGCTAAGAGAGAGAAACAGAGATCAGTTTAAGTATCTAAGGTCTCACCCACCCAACACACCTGTGAGAGCCACAACTCTTTTCCCAGGGTGGTCAGGGACTGTCTCTGTCTCTCTTATCTCTCTGTCTCCCCTCTTGCTCTCTGGGTCTCTGCTTCCCGCCATGCCCTCCCAACCCCACACACACCTGGTAGCCCACTGTGCATCCTGTGCCACAGCAGCACACCCCCTGCGATGGCCACTACCACCAGCAACACGCCAAGAATGATTCCGACCACGGGCACGGAAGATCTGGCTGATGACTCTGCAGCCAGAAAGTATCATGAAGACAGGGAAGGAAGGAGTTGATGACTCCTTGGAGATCCCCAGGAGCATATGACTGAGGAGGGTGTATGCAGAGAAAAGGCCCTGGGCCTCATGTGTTTCCACACTGAATATAAGAACCGGCCACACAGTGGTGAAACACTTCTTAATCCTAGCACTTGAGAAGCAGAGGCACACAGATCTGTGGGTTCGAGGCCAGACTAGTCTACATGGTGGAGTTCCAGGACATCCAGAACTATACAGAGAAGCCCTATCCCCAAAAACAAAAACAAAAAGAAAGAAAAAGAGAGGAGAAAAAATAGAACCAGCCACTGTGCTGGAGAGATGGCTCACTGTTAAGAGTCCTTGCTGCTCTCCCAGAGGATCAGAGTTTGGTTCCAGCACTCATGTCTAATCCCAGGAGACCTGAGCCTGACCCTCGATAAATCTAGGCTGGTGAGAAGGCTCAATAAGTAAAGGTGTTTGCCTTTGCCATAAAGCCTAATGACCTGAGTTTGAACCCAAGGCTAACACCCACAAGTTGTCTCTGTCTCCACAAGCACCCCACAGCACAGACTCATATGTACTTTTCCCTCTCACACAAAGAATGTAGGAAAATTAAATATATATGCGTACACTTAGATAGAAATCTATAGGAGGAGAGGAAAAGAAAAAGGAGGAGAAAGAGGAGGATGAGGAAGAGGAGGAGGAGGAGGAGGAGGAGGAGGAGGAGGAGGAGGAGGGCTGTATTGAGAGAACACAGCCACATTGTAAGAGAGCTCAGTGAGAGCCCAGTCGAGGAAGGAGGAGCAGTCACAGGACAAGCAGCAAAGTTGGCGCTTCACCAAAGCTATGGCAAGAACTGTCAGGGGTAAACGTGAACCGTCAAACACCGTGAAGACCAGTAGCAGCAAAACTCGTGGTCAGACTTGGGGGAGAGGGGTGACTGGCCACAGGCCTAATGGAGAATCAGAAGCCAGAAGCAGAAACAAAGGAGACACTGGCTCTGGAGGGACAGCCTCACCTAGGTCCACAGTGAGAGGCTGTGCCAGCCCCTCATGCTCCACTTGACATTGGTAACGGTGCTCATCTCCACGTTTGACCTCCAGCAATGACCACGCATTGAAAGAACCATCACCATTGGGACCAGTACTGCGATTTCCAGAGCCCGAGGCTAGCCCATCGCGCAGGAATCGCAACTTCAGCTCCGGCGGATAGAAGGAGAAAGCAACACAGGTCAGCACGGAGGAGCCAGAGCTGCTAGGACGGGCCTTCAGGCGCATAGAAGGCGGCTCTGTGGGGACACAGGGAATGGGATGGGCCTGTGGTTAGGCTAGGCTATGACCTCACCCAACCACCCCACTCCCGCCAAGGCTTGGTGTGAAGCTTGTCATGGACAGACCTGGGGTCGTTCCGATATCAGCACTGTGCTGACCCAGAGGGCTTCCCAGAGTGACAGACACCCCACCGTGCTGACCCCACTACCACACCCCTTTATTATTTTGGTTTATGCGTGGGTTGAGGCCAGAGGTCGATGGCAGGCATTATTTTTTCCCCTTCATTTTTCACTCTGTGTGTGGGTGTTTTTTGGCATGTGTGTCTGTGCACCACAAGCATGCAGTGCCCATGATGGCCAGGTGAGGGCGTCAGATCCCCTAGAGCTGGAGTGAGCCACCATGTGGGAGCTAGGAATCAAATCCAGGTTCTTTGCAAGAACAGCAAGTGGTCCTAACCATTGAGCCATCCCTCCTGCCCTCCACTTATTTTTTGAAACTGAGTCTCTCACTGAACCCGAGGGTTTTCTCTTTCAGCCACACTAGCGGCTGGTAAGGCTGTGGCCCCGTCTCTGCCAGACCTATCCCTGCAGCTACAGACATGCAGCAGTACACGCAGCCTTTGCAAGTGGGCTGGAGATCAGAACCCATCTTCATGCAGAGCCAGCACTGTGCTTACCGTGTGTCTCCACGGGCAACATTTATTTGTTTGTTTCATAACTGAATTTCACTCAGCCCAGCCCAGGCTTGAACTTATTATATAGATACAGATGACTTTGAATTCCTGAACTTCCTTCCTCTACTTGCTAAGAGCTGAAAGACAGCAGGTGTGTGCCTCCAGTGGTTTATAAGCAGTGCTAGAGATGGAACCTGCTTAAACAAGCTTTCTACCGGCTGAGCCCCAGCTCCGTCTACATGTTCTTAAACTGAGACTTACTACCATCTCTGTTCTTGGCCCCGGGAACACATTAGTGTATATACAGAGCAGAGAGGCATGACTGTCCTAGCTGGCTGTGACGGCGCATGCCCATACAAGTGATCCCAGCACCCGAGGAGCTGAGGCAGGAAAATCATGAGTTCCAAATGAGTTGGACGCTGTGGCAAAAACTGAAAGCTGTGGGTGTTTAGTACACCTTGAATCTCAGCATTTAGGGAGCAGAGGCAGGTGGCTGTCTGTGGATACCAGGGCAACTTGGTCTACATAGCAGTTCCAGGCTAGCCAAGGCTACATAGTGACATAGTGAGACCAAGAAAATAAACAAATCAATACATTGTGGCTGGGGATGTGGCTCAGTTATGTGAAGTTCTGGGTCGGATCTCTAGTACACTGACATTGATTGTGCATGCAGGCGTACACCTATAATCTCAGCACTCCAGACTGGAGATCTGAGGATCAGGAGTTCAAGGTTACCCTTGGTGAAATAGGAAGTTTGGGGCCAGCCTGAGCTACACAAGACCCTGAATCAACAGCAATAAACCCCTAAACAAAATGAACCCCAGCAAGGCTGTGCATGGCAGAGGCCTTCCCTCTGTTCAGGGTGGGTCTCACAATCTTGGTTCTGCTCTGATCCTCAGCAGAAAATAAGCTGACAGCTTCTTAGGAAGAGGAAGCAAAGCAGCTTCCCCGAAAGAGGGGCCTCACTGGCATCTAGGAAGACCTGAGGCCCCAGCTCTCAGCCACTGAGGGCCGGACCTCAGTCAGCGGTTCTGTGTCCGGCCTTGTGATTGTTATTGTTTTCCAGTGAGGATGACTTCCTGTGGGTAGCGCTGAGGGACGCCCTTGGTTCTCCTGTTTCCTAGTTCTGACCCTGAGGGTTCTGAGAGTCAGCCCAGCCTTGGTTTCTGCTTAACAGGAGAAAAAAAAAAAAAAAGGAAGCACCTTAGCCCCAGAAACAGTAAGCTGGCTGGCCAAGGCACAGGGGTTACAGGCTCACCAGTTAAGCCACAAAGTGAGTTGAAAGTTAGCCAGGGAAACTTAACAAGATCCCATCTCAAATAAAAAGACAAAAGAGGGCCAATGAGGAGCCCAAGGAACAACTTAGCAGCTAGAGCATTTTCTGATCTTTCTACAGAACTGAGTTCAGTTCCCAGCACCAACACTGGGCCCTGGGTGACACTCAACCACCCATAACTCCAGCTGCAGACGACATCATGCCTTCTGGCATCTGTGGTCACGTGCACAATATGTATACACTCACATCCATATAAATTAGTACTAAAATAAACATAGTCAGAA